TGGTGCCTAGACATTAAAATATATTTTACTTTATGTGTGTGTGCCTGAATGTGTGTGTGTGTGTGTGTGTGTGTGTGTGTGTGTGTGTGTGTGTGTGTGTGTGTGTGTGTATGTGTGTGCATGAACCCTTGGAGGCCAGAAGAGGGCATAAGATACCCTGGAACTAGAGTTTCAGTCAGTTGTGAGCCATTATGTGAATGCTGGGAACCAAACCTTGGGTGGTCACAAGAGCAGGGCATGGTCTTAACCACTGAGCATCTATCCAGACCTTTTAAAATTTTTAATTAGTTAATTTTTGAGAATAGGTCTCAGGCAGAATGGGCTGGCCTGGAACTTGGCATATAGCCAAGAATGACCTTAAAGTTCTGACCTTCCTGCCCCCACCTCATGAGGGCTGGAATTACAATGATGCACCACTATGCTTAATTTCTGTAGTGCTGAGTATTGAAACCAAGGCTTCATGCATGCTAGACAAGCACTCTATCAACTGGGATACATCCCCAGCCTTTAGGGTAACTCCTTAAAGACCAGGCCCTTGGTATTTTGATATGATTTTCTCTGCGTCTTTGTTTATCTTTTGCGATCCAGAAAATGAGACAAGGATCCAGGGAGAGTTGCAACTTTCTACAGATATTTGTATGAATATTTCTTCATACAACCAGGAAGCAATGTCAACAGAAACTAGAATACCATCCCTGCTCTGTGTGCTAATTGTAGACACTACCACATCACATGAAATAAGATAGATCAGGAAGCCAAATTTCCTTGTCTATGGCTCTCTTCTTTTTCATATTTCAGTAGAGAGCTTTCAGATTTAACTACAGACTCCTCTTGGATTAATGAGTCCTTACCATCTCAGCTTCCCACGTGTTTCTGTCACCTCTGCTTTATCTTGAACATTTATTCCCAATCACTCCATCCAATGAACAACCAGAGATGATCTTTCATCGATTGTCCTGCCATTAGTGAGGTGCTTTTTTGTGACCTTCCACTCCAGGAACAAATCAATTTATACCCCCTTTCTTTTTCATGTGGGATCCAGATGTTGTACTCATCTCCCTTCATCCATTCTCTCATAAATAATCTCCAAAAGTTCTCCAATACAAGCCCTTTCAAGAGCTAACTCTAGCCCCGTTATTTAATGCACACACAGTTTTTATTGTATTAAGATCTATTACTTCTACTCCAGGTTTCTTTGGGATTTTGAGATGGAAGGATGTTGGGATTCTGTCAAAAGGTCTTTCTACATTTATTTATATGACCATGTGATTTAAATTATCTTTGAGTATATTTATGTGATGTATGACACTTTGGAAGTTGTATGTGCTGTACTATCTCTACATTTCTGGACAAACACCTATTTGACACCCCGTCATGATGAATCATCAACTCCACCTGCAACCATTTCACATCCCTCTTTAGTCTGTTCATATTAAGAGGCTCCATTTTCCAAATCCATACCATGTTTTGTTTGAATTGTTTGCTCTGCCAGCAATATTGCATTCTTCCCTGCCTGGAAATCTCTTCATTCTGCCAGGTCCACATCAAATGCCACCATCTTTCTGCAGGTTCCTTTGCAAGGTACAGCTGACTTATCTGTCTGTTGTGTTTCTGTAATATGGTAATCTACACTGATTGCCCTGTTTCCAGAGAGTGAAAGTTTATTGTTTGTCTTTTATCCTCCATTTCTTCAACTTACTCTCTAAGCTCTTTCTCTGAGATATGCGCTTCTGTGAACTAGCATGGTCAGAGAAGTTTATTTTGCAGTGGAGAGCAGTCAGTGTAAAAACACATAAACAAGTGGTCAAAGTGTGGGGAATGAAAGAAGGAACGCCCACCCCTAAATGTGACATCTTTATTAACCTCACTCCAAGGCTCAGGAAATAGTATAGATAGGAGAAAAAAAGAATGTAAGACCTGGAGGTTATGAAAACAGGCAAGATTTCCAGAGAACAACTTTAAAAATGAAACAATAATTTTCACACTTTTTTTGAGAATTTCATGCAGACAATGTATTTTGGCCACATGTATTCTATGTTTCCCCCTAATTTCTGCAAGATCCGTTCCTACATACTCCCCCTTTCCAACTTCTTATCAAACTGCCCTCTAAATTCCTATCCCCATATCATAGATTCCTGCAGCCCTCAGTCCTCGTCTGAGAAGATTTTGTCCAGTGGATAACACAGAAGCTCACAACTAGTCAAAGTACAGAGAAACAGTACCTGTGGAGTACTCAGGCCCAAATCTGATGTCTATATCACAACCGCTCCCCCAAGACTCAGGGGCAATTAGAGAAGCAGGTGGAAAGATTGTAAGAGCAAGACATCCAAGAGGATCGGGTCAAACCAGTGTTTGCTAAGCATTTCAAGGTCAACAAACTCATAAATGTACATCAGTCCTGGCTGCCTGTACAAGACCCATACAGGAGCAAGCCAATCAAATCCTAGCATGGGGCAGAGTAGCTCATGAGCTCCCACCCCAGCTGAGGACTTACTGACAGTTGGCTTCTGGGGGAAAGAGCCATTTTTCTTTGAAAGTGTGACCCCTGGTACATTGAACACACTCCAGTAGATGGCCCACACCCATTGGTATATGGGCAGTGCATATGGACTTAGTGGGTTATTTAAAAAATTAAAAAAGAGCAAAGAGAATCCTTAAGCTCATCATATACGCACAGTAGAGACCAATACCCACTTAATGTCTCTAAATAAAACATACCATAAGCCTTTTATCTTCTCAAAAATAAATATAGAAACTCATTGTGTTGCTATCAAGTATATTTTGTAAAATTGCCCTGTAATCTAATGACATGTTCTCATGGGAATTATTTTTGCCTCCCCCAGCCCATCAGTGTTGACCTGAGTTTGTTGTACTTGCCTGCTCCACTCTACAATCTGCAACCCAGCTTGTATTTGAGTCCAATGCCTCCATTGCACAGTCCCAGCCAGTTCCCTTTGCAGGACCCTTATTGTACTAAGGAGAACACTTGCTGATGTGAATTGCATTCCTGACCCGAGAAAAAGTGCATGCTAAACAAAAAAGAAAATGAAACAGAAAAAGAAAACCAGTAGAGAGGAAGAGGGAGGAGGGAGAAGGAGAAATCACCATGGCCAAATATTTATTATCAATGAGATTTAAAACATTTGCAAATCTGAAAGAAATCCCAACATTCCAAAACAAACTTGACCTCATCACACACAGAGAGAAACAGAAGAGGTACCTGCCAATCCTGTAACAGTGAAACACAAGGCCCCACAAAGGACTTGTTCCCTATAACAACGCAGAAGCACAGAATGAAAGGTTCTGATGCTAACACTGGATCTGCTCAGTTAAAAGAACATTGAGACTAGAAGCAATTATCCCAGTAATTGAGTCAGGGAGAAAATCATTTCTGTTGGAAGACACAAGCAGACCTTTCAATTAGCAGTTTACATTGATCAAAGCCATCAGGGAACCACAGGACATATCCAGGTTTTGTCTTATGGACTGAGGGTCCTCCCTCCCTTTGCTCATCTGCCCTTAGATATTGCACTCAAAAAGGCCATTGGTTTTGTGCAAAGATCTTTCAAGGTCCTGAAAACGATCAGACTCTAGTCATCTGAAAGAAAGCAATCTGATGTTCAAAAGATTTAACATGGACACACACTGACACACACGGACACACACACATACACACACACACACACACACACACACACACACACACTCCCACAGACCAATGACAACAGCTTTTGAAATATCCATTTTCTCTTATGCAACCTATCAGTCATATAAATAAAGAACAGAAGATAGTTACAGCCTGTGCTGTATGTCTCCCCTCCAGCTTGCAGCATAAAACATAACAAATATAATTGAATCTCTCTCAGTTGCTTTCTCTTATTTCAAGCTCTCCAGCTCTCTCCTACTTCCCAACAGAGATGGGCACACTTTTTCAGTATTTAGAATTCTCAGGATCCTCTCTCTCATTTAATCATGTGTAAATGTGGTCAGAGAGAATATAAATGCAATATATATATATATATAAAATTTTTCATGCTCAGAAAATACTACAACTGAGGTCACTCTGTAATCCTCTTCTACAAGTGACACTGAGTTGTTCAAAATTATGTTTTTGAGAGTTATCTATGTTGACATACAGGCATATGATTTATTAATTTTAAATACAGTATGGCATTCCAGATGTGAGAATTTGGTATAGTTTATTTCCTATTTCCCTACTGGTAGGCTATTAATTTTTATTCAGTTGATTTTTGTTTTGTTAATTTTTATCCATCTATCTGTCTATCTATCTATCTATCTATCTATCTATCTATCTATCTGTCTGTCTGTCTGTCTGTCTGTCTGTCTATCTATCTATCTCTATCTCTCTCCCCCCTGTCTTCTGTGTTTGTGCACTCATGTACATGTATGCATGTATATGTTCCTGTACATGAGGAGTCCAGAGGACAACCTCAGTGCCATTTCTAAGGTGGCATCCATCTTTTGTTTTGAGACAGGGTCTCTCATTGGCCCAGAACTCACCAAGTAAGCTAGACTGACCAATCAGTGAATCCACCAGTCTTCATCTCTCCTCTGCTGTAACAAGTATGGGCACCATGTCTGGCTATTTTCCATAACTTTTTGCTTCAAGGATAAAGAGTCTTCAAGAGTCTTCTAGTCTGGATCTCCAGCATGCATAATTTTAGGGATTAAATATAGAGGGCAAAGGTCTACGTACTTTGAGCTATCCAGGATGTTGCTAAGTGAATCTCAAAGTAACTTCACCATTATACAAGTTAGAGCACTTGTAAGGACTTCATATTCTTGTCAGCATAATATTCTCTATTTTTTAAAATGTGGGAGGATGTCTCAGTGTGTAAGGTACTTGCTATATACAATGTGAGGACCTGGGTTTGGATGCCCAGAACCCACCTAAAGCATGATGGGTAATCTGTGTCTGCAATTTCAGTGCTGCCTGAGGCAAGCTAGGAGAATCTCTAGAATTTGGTTGGCCAGTTTACCTGGTGTGCAGAGCAGAAAAGCAACAGAGACCCTGGTTCAGACAAGGCAGAAGGTGAGGACTGATACCCTGGGTTGTATCTGACCTATGCACACACACAAAATAAAAATAAATAGTAAAGGAGAAGAATGTGCAATGACAACACTTGGAGGTGAGAATATCTAGCACTCCTAGCAAAGGACATTGGACTTTATTACACACCATCCAATGAGAAAACATACTCAACATATCCACAGCATCAGTAAGTGCCAGAATGGCAGACAAATTCCAGCACCTATTTGTTGAAAAAAGTCATTTCTGCTGCTGCAGATGACTCAGAAAATGGGTCTAGAATGATATTGGCAGGACAACAGTAGATAGCCAACACGTAACTATTCTTTGGAAAAAATGATACCTATGCAATTCTAAATAGTTTTTCTTCACTTACCTTGGCAATATAGCTTGTTCCTTAACATCCTCTTGTGGTTTAAATGCCTACACTGTATGGTCAATGAGCAAAAACCAATTCCGCTCCCCAAATTCTTCTCACTTACTATGCAGCTGTCTCAATTCATTAATTTGCTTAATCAGCCTTCATCAATACCACTTCTCTCTACTGCCTTCCTCTAACTGGAAGGAGAACCAGCCTATGCATACTCAAAAGTATGAAACAAAATGGGGCCAGGGAGGATACCTATGCCAGCATCTTTTGTGGGACTATATAGTAACTTCATGTAAACTTGTCTGTTATTGCCAAAAGTCAGTCCTCAAAGATGCTTCCTCATTTCTCTGATATTATAGTCAACTAAAAGTGTTGAATTAAATTGTTATAACCCTGAGTTACTCACAATTGGCAAGTCCAAAGAGGTTACTTATCAACACAGAGAGTCCTCTGAAACTTCCTAAAATTGATAACTCAGCTCAGCTCAGATTTCTAAGAAGAACACACAAAATGCACGCATCTGTGAGTCTGCTGTCATAAGAGTTCACTGCATGCCAAGGGGCATGCTGATCATGGAGTGCACACCCTGTAATCTCAGCAACTGGGAAGAGGAGGCAGGGGACTCTTAAATTGGAGGCCAGCCTCAGATACACAGTAATACCATATTAAGACAAATAAAAATAGCAGTTGTCCATCGCCATTGAACTTTTGAGTTTTCTGATAAACAGACAGACAACAAGTAACAGGAATTATTATCTTAGCATGAATATAAACCTGAAATATAGGAAATATGGTCAACACAACAAATGCAATCAACAGGTAATGTGAAAGCAACTAACACCCATGAGGGTGGACTTTTATACAGAATTAATACCATGCTCACGTTAGATGGAAACATGAATTCGTACTTCTAGCTTGCTTTTAGAAGGAACCACTGACACTAACAGTAGTAAGGGAACTTACTGCTGTGTTTCCCTTTCATTCTCATTTTTGGTATCTATACAGAAACAGGTTCACTACCTGGCTAAATTACCTATGGGGAAGTAGTTTTACCTGCTTTTGATTGGCAAGGAAAAAAAATTTCTTCATTTCTGAATTGCAGACACTCACAATCATGTGACACCAAAGCTATGCTCAGTCTTCAGAAGTAGCTACCGATCTGAATTTTGCATGTTGAACTGAAGAATTCACTACTTTCTATGAAAAGTAAATGGTCTGCCTCTAATTTCTGGGTCAGCTAAGCCTCAGGAAAGAAAGAAGGTGTTGTGCCTCATCAGATATTATACATTTGAAGGTCAAAGTGGAGATGCATGTACTGATGTGAGCAATTCCATGTGGTCCCAGCTCCTACTCCTCATCAAGAGGTGACACAGTCATTATCAGGAAATTGTTATTCTTTTAAAATGCTGTATATGTTTTTTACAAAGCAATATTTCATAGGACATTTTGATGAAGCATATCATCATGTACTTTGACTATATTTATTTCCCACCACCCTCTCTTTTCCCTATCTGCTTCTTTCTGCTACTCCTGTTCTATCTTAAATGGACTCCCCTCTATTTTCATGGTGCCTCTGTGTGTGTATGTGTGTGTGTGTGTGTGTGTGTGTGTGTGTGTGTGTGTGTGTGTGTGTGTGTGTAAAACCCAGGTTACACACATGAGAAAAAACATGTTGTATGTGTTTTATCTTGTTATGGTTGACTTCATTTCATATGACAAGCTTCAATTATACCTTACATATAACATAATTGCATTCCTCTTTATGGCTGAATAAAACTCTGTCATGCATACACTCTACATGTTCTTTCCTATTCATTCATCCATTCATGGACACCCAGATGGGTTCTTGCTGTTTCAGCTGAGCTGCCAGCACACAACCCAAGGCTGGAAAAGCTGACTATCTGAGCCAGGAAGCTCTCACTCTGCCCTGAAACTGCAGTGCTCCTCCAATGTAGACATGATAAGGCCACTGTGGTCTACCATCATGGGAGGCAAGAACATCAGCAACTACAGGAGGAATGTGGAACACAAGCCTTCTTTAGCTACCCATGTTTCTAGCACAGAAATCTTAACAAGAATAAGAATTTTAAAAGCACATTTGCAGACAATATTCTGAAATGAGCTATTCCATGCATTCACCAAGAAATCATATTTACCATTATGGCAAGGTACTCCAATCTCCAATCCAATTTAGCGTATCAAACTAAAGTCAACACAGGGCCAGTGCAATTGGTCAGTGTGTGGAAGTACTTGCAGCACAAGCTTGAGCATCTGAGTTCAACCCCTGAAACCCACAACAGAAAGTAGTAATTGACTCCAGAGTTGTCCTCTGACTTACACGTGCATTGCATGCTGTGTGTGTGCTCCTCACTCCCAGTCACAGTAACAACAAAATCAAATTAATCAAAGTCAGTGAAATACTTCCAGTGTCCCATTCTTGGTGGGAACATATTGGAAAGCAAAGATAAGGCCTTTTTTGTCCTCATAGTATGACAGGACAAAGACAAGCCTTTTTTGTTTGTTTGTTTGTTTGTTTGTTTGTTTTTTATCCTCACAGGGCAAGACACTGCAGAGATTTCTGAGGCCATTTCAAGTTTAACTAGAATCTGATCTCCTTGATGGAGAATGCTATGGAAAAGTATCCAACTCTATTCTAGGAACTCCAGGTCAAGATGTCCCAGTTAACTTAGTTTCCTTTAAACTACCTGTTTGTGCAAATCTCCCCCTCCAGCTAACTGTTTAACTTCTGTTAAACTGCTTGCTTGTGCAAACACACACACACACACACACACACACACACACACACACACACACACACTTCTGCAGCTGCAGAGCAAGATATCAGGATGTAGTTGTTACCATTAAAAGCCCTTTGCACTAAATGCTTGGGCTGCATGAGGTCCTGAACACCAGAGTGTAGTCTCAGCCAGCTGAAATAAAGACTTTCAAGTGGCTATAAATTGTGTCTGGGTGGTCATCTCTGGTGGACTGACTACTTGTAACAACAGCCGGACTCACCATCTCCCTCTTAACTCTATTCTGACCCAACAAAAACAGCATTGTCATGATGCTTAAAACTTAAACTTAAGTTAAAATAAAATGCATAAGATTCCACAAGATAGGCTCATTAGCTCAGGATTTGACAGGTTGCTAAATGGTAACTTGGAATGACAAGCGACCAACACACGATAATTAATTACCAAAACAGCTACCACATGGGCTGAGACTGTAGCAGGAAAGTGCTGACAACACAAAATTCACATTTCGCTGCTCTCCCTGCCTCTCCCAATTTACAGGAGAATGGGAAATCATGAAAAAGTGATACACTCCGTTAGCCACCATCTCAGAGAGCAAGTCTCCATGTAGCCTTAGGGGTATCTCGCACAGTTTAACAGTGAAAATAAAAGGTAATATTCTTGCCAAAGAGCTAGGGGGGGATTAAATTTGGGAGGCTTGAAGCAGCCTTGAATTGTAGTCAATAAAAAAGGGACCAAATAGTAATTTTGTAATTTAACTGTGCTAGCTATGCCCAATGAGTCAGACACTTGTGAAATAAACCATGTAAATAGAAAAATGGCTTAACTCTTTCTGTGGTCACACAGCAATGCTTCCTGGTATTCAGTTTCCTGGCTCAATGAAAATAATGTGATTTATATACTACCTATACATCTTTTACAATAGGTCTCAGGCGAAGGTGTTGATTTCTTCTTTGATATTCTCTCGTCTATCTAGGATCAGGGAGGCTATTAATATGTTGTAACATGTTTTATGTATCAGCATCCAGGGACATAGTGCACCACATTCAAGGACTGCAAAGCTTTCTTAAAACCACACAATTCTTTTTAATTAAAAAATGTGTGTGATGCATTCATTTGTGTTTGTGTGTATGTGGTATGTGTGTGTGCTCATGTGCAGGTCAGAGGTCAACACTGAGTGTCCTCCTCTACTGTTTTTGACCTTATGTTTTGAAATAAGGTCTCTCACTGAACAAGGAGCTCACCAATTGGCTACCCTGGCTGGTCACCAATCCCCGGGATCAGCCTGCCTCTGTACCCCTCAGCACTGGGGTTGCAGAGGCTTAACATCCATATATGGCTTTTACATGAGTGCTGAATTCAGGTCATTATGTTTATGTGGGACTCTCTTTAAAAAGTGATTCACCTCTCCAACCCCCTCTCCTCCTTAAGTCTTAGAATTCTTGACCAAACTAAAATCAGTTTCAGGCAAGTCTTGAGGGGTTTTTCAAATAGTTACACCACAGACAGAGTAATGATGACACTGTGCACGGAAAGAGCTAAGGCTGACTGGCATGCAATGATCTATTCAAATCCTAGCTGCAGAGGAAGACTGCCATCTTGTTTTCAGCCTCCATTCCTTCCTTAATTTCTTATAGGGAACAATCCATAGCTGAATTAATGTTGTCCAATGGAAAGACTCAGGTGTCTGTCTGTGGATGGGTTAAAATTCAAAATGTTTAAGATACAAACTCTTATACATCATCCTCTTAGAGCTGAGAGCAGTGGGATTTGACAGATGGGTCATTATAGTGGCCTTGTGGTCTGATGTGATTGAGATAGCCCCTTTTCTTATCACTAGGATGTCTAGCCATGTCCAATATCTTGAAGTATTCAGAAATCTAAAACTATTTCTATATGAGAACCTAT